ATACTATACAGTACCATAAATGTATTTTCTCTTCCTTATGATTTTCTTCATAACTTTTGTCTAGCTTGCTTTATTGTAAGAATACAGCATAGAATACATATAACATACAAAATATGAGTTACTTGACTGTTTATATTGTCAGTAGGGCTTCCAGTCAACAGTAGGCTATTAGTAGTTAAATACCGGGGGAGTCAAAAGTTATACTCAAATTTTTAACTGTGCAGGGTCAGCACCCCAACTCCCACATTATTCAGGGGCCAACTCTATTGTACCACTGCGGGAAGAGTAGCTAAGGGCATCTGCTTGAAGTCAGAATGCTGAGGTTCTGCTCCTAGCCCCATCATGCCCTGTGTCTTCAGGAAAGTAGTTTCACATCTGTTTCCTCACTTGTAAAATGAAAAGTAAAGTGGAATGCACCTGCTAGAGTTGCTGGGAGGAACAAATGAGAGATTGTCTGTGAGACAAGTGAGAGGCAGACATGGAGGCCTTTGCTCACTCTGGTTCCTGCAAGTAGGCAGTTTATGTTGGCTGTGATTGCTATTACTCTAATATTTCAGTGGCTGTTATCGTTATTATTATATTAATAATATAATATAATGGGAAGTGGGGAAATGAAAAAAAAACCCTCCTTTTAGGGCATTTGAGATATTTTATTGTATGTAATGGAGGCATGCTTCCTGCCACTCTTAGGCTAGGAGGCCCCTGGAGGGCAGGAAGCCTAGGAAATCTGTCGGTTTTGAATGTGCATCCTCAATGCCTGGACCAACGCAAGGCATCAGCACAACTAACAGGGACGGATGGTGAGTGACTCAAAAAGGGAGGTCATTTCAGGTTGCAAGTCTGAGAAAGACATCAGGCAAACAGGATTGCTATGACGTCACTGGGGCAAAGGCAGGGAAGCAGGTATTATCAGCAGTATTATCAGGTTGTAATCCTCCCAATTCCCTTGATGCTGCTGCAGAAGCTGCCGGCACCTGATCCATGAGGGAACTGAGGGCCAGAGTAAGAAGGAGCTGGTCTGGGTTGCTTGTTTTCACACACCCCAGCTCCTGCGGTCAAACTAATTTGGATCTGTCCCAGGGCCTGGGTAGGCTCATTTTGTAAGCATCTTAAAGACTGCTAAGGCAATATCAGAGGCAACATGAAGATTAAAGGGATTTTTGCTTGTTTGTTAATATCTTGGAGCAGCAAGACAATACCCCAAACAACTGCCTGCCTGGTGACAGTGCAGAGGTTAGCAGACAGGGCTCCTGGCTCCCATCTAGGGAGTCACTGCTGCCCTGCTGGATGCCAAAGGCATGGGAGCATGACACCACGGGAGGAAGGAAGTGAAGAGTGACTTACAGCAGATCTTTTTCTTTTGTTTTTTTTTTTGAGACAGAGTCTGACTCTGCCACCCAGGCTGGAGGTCTCAGCTCACTGCAACCTCCACCTCCCGCATTCAATGAATTCTCCTGCCTCAGCCTCTTGAGTAGCTGAGATTACAGGCATGCGCCACCATGCCTGGCTAATTTTGTTTTTTTTTTATTAGAGACAGGGTTTCACAATGTTGGCCAGGCCGGTCTCAAACTGCTGACCCCAGGTCACCTGCCCCCTTGGCCTCCCAAAGTGCTGGGATTACAGGCGTGAGCCACTGTGCCCGGGCCCAGCTGGATTTATTCTTAATGCTCCTTCTTTGAGGGATCTCACAGAAGATTGATGGGCATGCATAAATCCTGCCTATCCTGACGAAGCCACAACACAAGGTGTTGCAGAGGGAAAAGGACTGGTTTCAGAGGCCGTGGGAAGCAGATCTGGGCTGGCTGGGGCTGGCTTTGTAGCATCGGTGAAGTCACATCACCCTCTGAGCCTCAATTGTTTACCTGGAAAAGTGATGCAGTGCATGTGTCAGTTCCCTCCGGCCATGTTCCCTGAGCACACACCTGCCCAGGGCTTTCATTAGCCACAGGACAATGGTTGGTCCAAGCACAGGGAGGCTGAGGGTTTCTGGGAGTGAACACACCAGAGAGCAGCTTCCAACCAAATACAGGCAGGAGTTGGTATAGAAACGCCCCAGCTCTTTCGCTGCCTTTGCGGAACGACTCTGAAACAAGGTCATGTAGCCCCTCAGGGGCTGTCACACAGGTGAGTCCATCTGCCCACCAACATACCATCTCCTAGGCTTGCTTTCTTGGTCTCTTTGACTTTGTCACTTCCTAAGTAGTGATTTCTAAGATCACCTCCCAGACTCCTTGCTCCTGAATCCAATTCTTAGGGGTGACTTTCAAGGGATCCCAGCCTTAACCAAAGGATAAAACCAACTAATGCCCAGGGCCTAATGAGGAGGTGGATGTGGATGCTTTGAGACCCAGCACAAGACACAGGACTTCTCAGCAAATGGCAATGCTCTTGTAAAGAGGTAACTGCATCCCCAATGAACTTGACACACCCCCACCCCCATGCTGACCCCTTCTTTACCTGCTCCACACACGTTTGCTGAGCTCAGCATAACTTTGCACCCTCCATACAGATGCCCAGGCCATTAGTGGTCTGGGCTGTGGCCAGAGATAGGATTTATGAAAATTCAATAAGGTTTTATCCACCAAGGAAGCTTTTAATAAGTCCAAGTGGTAGCCAAGACACTAAACAGTTGATTTACAGCCTCTTGAGGAGAGCCAGACAATTACTTTTCAGGTGGACTCACTTAGGCAGGAACATATTTCATGGGTGATTTTCGCTGGCTCTTCAGTGGCAGGTGGGGTGAATTGTGTCCACCTCCACAGCCAGCTTTCCAATTAAGGGCTGACACAGGGAGTAGACAGGGACAGGTAGAAACTGTTAAGTGATGGGGGTGCATCATTCAGGTTATGGGTCTGCAGTTTCCCTTACAATCAGTTCTCTATTGTAAGGGGCAATCTGTACATGAAGCAGCATCCTAACTCCAGCAAAAAGGGCCCTATTACAGGAGAATTTCAGAAAGAAGAAGACCTAAAGAATTGTGTTCTCTCACTGCACTTTTTGTTACAGTGTTCCTTCCAGTTACAAAAAGACCGAAGAAAAATAGCCAAAGAAAAAAGGTAAAATGAATGTAATGAAGTAGACAGTTTTAGCTGAGAATGTATTTTAAGGAAAACAGGTTAACCAAACTAGACATTCCCCAGGGGCATTCCACATGCCTCCTTCCATGGGTTTCAGGAAGATCTAAGAAGACACAGAGCCACCTGGTCTTCTTGTCACCTTGAAACAGGCCCTCATTGTGAGTGGTAGAAATAAAAGTCAGGGGGTGATTTCCGGTGTGAAGGACAGGAGACCTGCTTGACAATGGGAGGACAGAGGAGAATTTCAGGAGAGTCAGAGCCCCAAGAACTACTGTGGATATAAGAGAACCACAGAAGAAAAGGAAAGTGGGGTTTTAGTTTATGAGTAATATTGTGGGTAATAAATTGCATTTTCCTTGTTATTCTTTGAGCGTCGTGCGTGAAGCATGACATTACTCTTAACTACTCTAGGTCGTGGCTTTCATTTATTGAATGCAATACCAGGCAGAAACGAGACCATGTGCTACTCTAGCTTATATTCAGTTTGCATTTAATAAAGTTAGATTGTGCTTTGGGGTTAAAATAATAGTAGCAACAACAATAATGCATGGTGATTTCGGTATTCCGAGGCTTGGCAACGGCATTTGAAAAGGACTGAGTATCTGTGCTTCTTTTAAACAATAGCAAGGCATGGGCACTAAAGACAAAGTAAACGTACTTCTAAGGCGCATTCAGAGGGCATGATGTCTTTATCAAAGAAGGGACTAACCAGAAGAAAAGGCTTCAAGGTTGTAAACTGGTCTGCATTTCAAACACTATCATTCAGTAAAGGAAGAAAGAAAATATGTGTTCTTTGTGGTATAAAAGGGAGAATTAAAAGACATGGGTGGAAAATACAGAATAGCATAATTTTATTCTCAATGAAAAAAAATTCTACTGAATATCTATTATCTATGAAATAATATTTTTAAACTGCAGAGCCAGATGTACTGGCTTTGAAAAAATGTGGCTTCTACTTCTAGAGGCATCCAGGTAGAGGCTGAAGATACTGAGAGCAATTCTCAACCTGGATTGGGACACACCTCATTGATTCTTAAGATTTCTAACTCAAAATTTTAGCAACTCTTAAAGCTATCACCCCTAGTGAGTTTGCAAACCAACACCTAGTAGACTGATGTAAATTATTCATTAAAACTAGCAGTCTGAGGACCACTTCATGGATTTTATTTTGGAGACATGATTCCATTTATGCTGTCATCTATACTATTAGAGAAAGTGTGGTAACTAATTTTTTTTTTTTTTTTTGCCTGAAATACATGAAAGTACATAGCTTCTCCCATATCCCACCCCTTCCCTAGCCAGCTCAGTGTCACTGGCTATGACTCAACTTCTCAAAGTTTGGCCTTTTTTTTTTTTTAATTGTTAGTGAGTTTTATTCTCTCCTCTTTGAATCAGGCAAGTCCTGGAGTTTCCAAAAGCCGCTTTCCCATAAGAAGTACATCAAGTTTTACACCAGTGTCAGCCACATGGACAGACCTACCACCCCAACTGACTGAAGGATTAATGGCCCACTCCAAGGTTAGCTGGAAAAAGAGTGCTCCTTTTCAGGCAGGGTGGCTCGCATCTGTAATCCCAGCACTCTGGGAGGCTGAGGTGGACAGATCACAAGGTCAGGAGTTCAAGACCAGTCTGATCAACATAGTAAAACCCCATCTCTACTAAAAATGCAAAAAATTAGCCAGGTGTGGTGGCGGTCACCTGTAATCCCAGCTACTCGGGAGGCTGAGGCAGGAGGATTGCTTGAACCCGGGAGGCGGAGGTTGCAGTGAGCCGAGGTTGCGCCCCTGCACTCCACAGCCTGGGTGACAGTGCGAGACTCCATCTCAAAAAAAGAAAAAAAAAAGAGTGTTCCTGCAGGCAGGTCCAACAGGCAATGGCTGTGTGTCCTGAAAGCAAGTAAGGGCTGGATGAATAAGGACTTACAGGAGGGCCGGCAACCCCAATGCCCGGATCACCACGGCCGCCAGGAGAACCAGGGATCCCAGGGACTCCTCGGTCCCCCTAAAGGAGAGAAAAATAAGATCAAGAGGTCAGAGCCAGGAAGGAGAGGGCCAGGGCACAAAACAAATCATGTTCTTTCTAGAATCCTGACTGCACTTATTATCGAAGGCTTCTCCTGCCACCTGGCCTCCACGGGCCATGCTATAGTCCTCTCAGCCAGCCCATTGTCCCACTCAGCCCAATATTCGGGGACCATGGCCACCAACTCAGATTATATACCTTTCAAGGATGACCATTCCCGACCAACCCTGACCATGGTTCCAAATGTGATTATAACTCATCCTAACTATACCCCAGATTTGCACATGTATCCATGTTTCAGTTCAGATCCCAAATCACCCACAAATGAATCTATCAATTCACCAATAATTTACCAAGCACATACATTTTGCACATCAGCCTTCTGGATGTGGGAGTGAGAGGCCTAAAGAGGACGGAGATAAGACCTTTGCCTTCAAGCATAGTTCACACTATGGACTTGGGTGTCAGAGGCCTGGATTTAAGTTCTGGTTTCAACACCTGTTAACTGTTGACTTAAGAAGTGATGCATTCCTATGCTCTAGTTTCCTCACCTACAAGGGGAACAGGACAGGAGCTGCCAGGTCTGCAGACATTGTGCTCATTCAGTGAGATTATGCAGAGAGAGTGCTTGGCACAGAGCCCAGCACAGCACTGAACGTGAGCTAAATGTTGCGTTTGCTTCTGTTCTCATTACACTGCTATTCTGGACTTTGATGGCAAAGGAAAAAGGAGGGAGAAATTGAAAAGGGGGAGAAATTTTGTTTGCCATTTCCTGGAGAACAAAGCTGACGCAGAGCCACACCTTATTCATAATTTCAAAATCCCCAGCTTTTAAAAACAAGTGTTTATCTCAACTCAGTTGGCAGCAAAACCTTACCTGTGCTGACACACGCTATTTGCAGTCTTTAGTTATTCCATTTTGTGTGAACATTTACTTATTTTGGTTGCCTAAGGATTAATGAGCTTGATGAGGAGTGCTTCCCCAGATACCACCATAAATGTCATTATATGTATATTTTGCATATTACTACCTTTCCAAAATCCAAAATAAATTTGACCCAAAACACACATGGCCCCAACAGTTTTGTGTAGGAGGCTGTGATCCTGAGCTTATTCACCCAGCTGAATCACAGACAAGCCTGGAACCAAGATGGGAGGTGACCTTGCTCAAGCCCCTTAATATCTCTCGACTAGGTTAACTCGTATGACAAATGGAAACAGCCTCAGAAGCTTGTTATGAAGGGCCAGTGAGATAATGTGCAGCTAAGTAATTTAAGGTAGAACTCGACATTGCTAGGTAGTATGGTGCTTTATTAAGGTTTAGGTTATCACACATTACAAAATATCTCACTAATGGCTCTAAGGCGACTGGCCTTTCCTATAGTACAACCATTGCCTCAATGGGTACATAAGCTCTATATTAATTCAATCCATGCTCATTCATTCAACTAATGCTCCTTCATTCATTGCAAGACACAATCTAGATTCCAAGCCCAGAAGATGACTCAGTCATGAGTCCTGCCCATTGTTAATACTCAGTGCTAAGTTCAGACGAGGAGGGATGTTCATGGGGATATGAAGGAACAAGCCTTGCAAAGTTCTCACAAAAGATACCAACCAAGATCTAAATCTCTCACCAGGTCCCTTGACATGGTTTCTTTCCCTGGTCCCCCTGGGCCTCTGAGATGCACTACCTGCTGTTTCTGGGCCTCTAGGAGCCAGCAACATCCCTTGCCCTGCCCTCATCTCTTCCAGTAGTTCCCACCTCCAATTCCTGTAAATTCCCAATTAGTGTAATCTGTTTCTTTGAATGTGATATGAATGGTTCTTGGAAGTTCAAGATACTTGGAATCCCTAGAAAATCTAATTAGTTTCTATGGGGAGGCTAGGAACAGAGGGAGTAAACAAAGTAAGACAAACGTGGAAACAAGTATCATGAACTAAGGATGATCACCATGACCCATAATTTATCTGCCACCAGCTCATTGCAGCAGTGGAGTGGGGCATGTAGGAAGATTTCAAACTGGTGGTCAGGTGATTCTAGGTCCAGTCTCAAGACCATGTCAACCTCATCCTGTGACCTTGGGTAAGTCCCATAACCTCTCTGCATCATTGGGTCCTCATCAATTAAAAAAAATTTTCTACTAAATCTGCATGTATCTTATGAAAACATTTAAAAAACTATATGAGGTTGAGAAACACATTGTATATTATGGTTGCATTATTATCACTTATTTATTATATCTTTATTTTTGAGACAGGCTCTTGCTCTGTCACCTACGCTGGAGTACAGTGGTACAATCATGGCTCACTGCACCTTTGATGTCTCAAGTTCAAGCAATCCTCTTGCCTCTGCCTCTCTCATAGCTGAGACTTCAGGTGTGAATCACCATACCTCCCTAATCTTTGAAATTCTTTGTAGGGACAGGGCCTCATTATGTTATCTGGGCTAGTCTGGAACTTCTGGGTTCAAAAAATTCTTCCTTCTACCTCGTATGCTGAGGTAGAAGATAGAAAGTAAACTAAACACATATAAATGTCAGATAAATCTATATTCTTTTGCACTTTGGTTTTGCTTTAAAAATCTTAACGCAGATTTTTCTGTTATTATTTTCTGTTTTAGTTTGAAACAGAAACTATCCCTTTCCTATCCCAAGGCCACTGTCCATGTACATCGGCAAACCCCAGCCATTGCTAGCTCAGTCATGTCAACAACCTAGTGTGTACGTTTCCATGGTATTTGTTTGCACTTCTGTTTCTTATACACGTGATTTCCCCTTGTCTGGGATCTTCTACAATCCATGTTCTAAGTTTCCAGAACCTTCCCATCAAAACTAAGTCTTAGTCCCATTGTTTTGTTGCTGTAAAGCTGCCTCTGCCTGTTTTGCCCTTGTGTCTTTTTGCAAATGTTTGCATGGATCTTCATTGACCTTAACACATCACCCTCCCAGTGCACAGTTTTCTGACTCTTTGACTTTTCTGTAAGCAGCTTGAAAGGAGAAAATAGTCATTCATTTCTCTATCCAACAAATGTTTACCAAGCACCTACAATAATTCAGCTCCTCTGCTAGGTACTGAATCTATGCATCTCTGTATCCACAATGTCCAGATTAGGGTGTGGCACAGATGGCAGCTAATAACCATTTCCTGGATGTGGGAACAAAAGAATCCTCCATCATTCACTTTGTGTCAGATATTGAGTTCTTCCTTTGACTGAAATAAACTTTTTCAGAGGAGGAAGCATGACAGAAAGGCCTCTCCCAGCTCAGTCTGGAAGCACGGAGTCAAGTCACTGACCGCTCTCTGCTACAAAGCGACCAGCTCTGGCTCCATTTGTAGGTTTATGCTCCATTGTGTTGCTAATATCCACAAAGAAATGACCTGACAATTTCATGAACTGAAACTTTTTAGAAAATGGTCCCAAGAAGAGCAAAAAGGCCTTAAAATTCTGACAGGAAAAGCCAGAAGGCTAATGGTTAAGAAAGAACAGAGCACATGAGCTAGAATCTGTAGCACGACATCCAAGGAAGATATGTGGGAAGAAGGAAGTATGGGGGTTGTAGAAGGAGAATGACATTTATTGAGCAATAACTGTGTGCCACAGATCATGCATCTCCTGAGGAGCTCTGTAGGGGTTAAATATCCTTTACTCCTTCATACAGAATAGGAACAGAGGCTCAGAGACAAAGCCACTTGAGCCACTTGCCTTCAGGTAATCTGTCTTGTAGGTAGCTGAGCTGGGATTCTAACCCAGTTCTGTATGAAGCCAAAGCTTATTTATCCTGCTAGAAACAAGTGCCACTCAAGAGAAGTACTGGCATCCTCAACAGTCTTCCTGCAGTCATAAGGAATTAGGAGGGGCTGAGGGGCAGCCAAGGAAAACCTTCAAATAACTCCCCTCCTTGGTTTCCTAAGGAAATTTCCTTAATTTCAATCAGCACCTGGACAGTACCAGGGCAAGCCTCACGAAAGTCACTCTCCCCGGCATCTCTCTCTCCACTTCTCCCTAGCTTCCCCTACTTCTTACCTTCTTCCTCCTCTGAGCAACCTATTCTTCAACTAAAGATGACCTCAAATTCCAATTTGTCTTCCCAATGCCAATTGACTATGGAAAGCTTTCTAAGCCACATTCTGACTCACACATTTACACAATATCAACACTGGAATGGGTCAGGTGTTTACGGATCTCACATTTTAAATAGGAGGAAACATTTGGCCAAAGGGGCAGCACGACTTGCCCTGAGACTCATGGAGTTCGAATGGACTAGTCAACTGGACCCATGGCAGGGGGGTCTGCACTTCCCGCCGTGGGGTCTCAGCCTGCCTCTGCTCTTTAATGCAGCCTCCCCCACTTCCCCTAGACTTTTTCCAACAACTGCATGACTACAGAGATAGACCCCCACCTTCTTGCTGCAACTCCACAGGGTGATCTAATAATAAGGATCTAAGCACAATAATAATAAATAATAAGGTCTAAAGCAGATCCCATATGGTGATCTAATAATAAGGGTCATGGATATTTATTGAGCAACTAACTGTGACGAGCACTATGGTAGGCAATTATCTGTATTTGTATCATGTCATTTATTTTCCCCAAGACTCTGCCTATGAGTTAGGTAGTAATATATTCTAGGCCACCCCATCAGTGGCGTTTTGGGATCCAATGGATCAATGGATCACTAAGACCCCAAAGATACATCAACAGAATAAACAGAATAAAGGGGAAAAAAGGTCTCCTACTGTTAGATAAAAGGTCATAAAGAAGGGGCATTTGAAGCCACTTTGCTGCTCCACCATTTCTGGCACCCTTGCCTTCCTGTCTTCCAAGAGGCTATCAATGCCCTGTAGGTCCTGAAGGTCCCTAAGGTGCTCCTCCTCTAAGGGGAAATAAGTGGGAGCCCCTTAGTCCTGCAGATCAGACTGGGCTGTGTGCCTCACATCATGGGGGAGCCTACCACCTATCTTCAGGTTGGTGGTTAATGCACAAAATCCTCCAGAATCTAGGTCCTAATTCCTTAATCTGCACCTCCCCATATATACCTACTGTTCTAGGCATATGGGACTATTTTATATGCTCCCATAGTCAGGCAAAGTTATTCCCAATTTTATTCCTCAGAAAATGGGGAGACTCACATCATACACAAAAAATCATTTTCCCTTTTGAAAAATATTTTGATTGTGGACATCACTATTAGGAAAAAGCAAATTCATCTACATAGACCTCAATTAGTGTCAGCTTGAGATGCTTACATACAGAGGGGAACTCACCTGCTTGAATAGGGAGAAACCATGAAGCAATGAAATTTAATATGGATAACAGTAATTATTCCTGGAGCCTCAAATTTTCATATCCTGCACATTACTGTAAACAAGCCTCTCACATACTATTTTAGAAGCAATACACTCTGTGTTTACGTGTTGAGATCCTAAAGATTCAAGTATGGAAAGAAAGAAATAAAAAGGGAAAAAAGGTCTCCTACTGTTTGGAGAATGGTTTCTGGGGCTTAGAACAAAACTTTCAGTAACAGCAGCATGTATGCATTCCAGAAGTGTTGAATCTTTAAAGAACTCAGATGGGATCCATGGTAATATGCTTTGGAGAAGTGTCAGCTGACTTAAAAAGTGGCTCAAGGGATGATGACGGAAGACATTGAAGGCATACAGGAAATCCAAAAATTGTTTTAATAAACATACGCAGGTACAAAAGAAGTGATATAATTTTGCAATAACACTTTTGTTATTTTGAATATGCATGTCAAATGAGGGCTCAAAATAATATTCTCAAGTCAGTAATTGGCTGTTTCATCCACGTTTTTAAAAGCTGATGCATTTGAGTTAAGTCAAGTAACTTTCACTGGATATGGGCACACATACAGCTCTCGCTGTTGTCTGAACACATTCTGTCTCACGCCTCAGCGTCTTCTTCCATGTTAGCTCCCCTGCCAGACTTCTCCTTCAACTTCTTCCCCTGCTAACTGCTACATGCACTTCACAACCAGGACAAACATCTCCTTCAAGAAGCCAGGAGAATGAAACCAAGCTGGGTAAGCCAGCCCCCTCTGAGCCCATGTGTGTCCTGAGCTTCCCTCTCTCCTAGTGCTCTTCTGCTTTTGCCTGTTCACATATCTGTTTTCCCCACTAAACCAGGAGCCGTTGGAGGTCCTGAAACATATCACATGCATTGTTGTCATCCCACAGCCCACCTTGAAATCTGACACGTGGTGAGAAACTCAGCAGACATACAGTGAACAAAGCAATGAATGCATTGGCCATTGATGCATAAATAGGTAAATGAATGAATGATTCAATGTAGAGGGTATTTTAGGAAATCTCCCTGTCCACTCAGGAAATTTCTCTTAAGAACACTTCCTCGTGAAAAAGAGTCATATTTTATGAATTGTGGGTGCAACTGAATTGAGGAAGAGATGGGCTGGTATTTAGCAAGTGTTTCTGTTTTCCTCCTGTGTTCCCCAGCAGATGACATACCCCAGACTCCCCTGTGTGACTGTCAATAGGTGTTGGTAGAAACGCATCAGGAATCTCCAGGCCTGGCCTATAAAATCTTCCAAGAGGGTTCTCCACTCTCTTTTACCTTATTTGTTGTTGTACCCCAAGAATTTGGTAGATGATTCTGAAACTTTAAAGGATAGAAGAGGCATGGGATTGGAACGCCACCACTGAATTGCTGTACAGATCAGAACACCCCGCAGCAAGACTCCCATAGACCTAGTGTGCATGAGATGTGAACTTTCACTGTGGTAAGCCTCTGAAATTTTGGAATCAAAATTAGACTCATCATACAAGACTGCTTAGACCTACTGCTCTGCCAATTGAAAGTCCGTGTCTCCTGCCACTTCATTTAATGGTAAGTATTTATTAAGTACTGACTATATGACAATTACTTCAATATAATAGTTAAGACTCACAGAACCTTTGGTCAAATGGAATGTGATGAGCTGGGAAACATGGGAAGTGGATTGAGGTGACTGGAGGTCTCCTTCTAATAAATTTTTCCATGTTCTCTTTCTAAGAGCAACTTATGGCACCCACAGTTTTCTTGGACAAGTACTCACCTTGGTTCCTAGGGGTCCAGGAAGTCCAGGTGATCCACGGAGTCCCTGCGGAAATAAATAATACAAACACAGTCATGGAGCTGCCCGCAAGCACTGGCTCATCCACCACGGGCCAGGCTGGCTGCATCCTCTGCTGGGGACCCAGAGACGGGGGGGACTCTCACTCCAAAAGAAGCAGCATCCAGTTTTGAGCGACAAGGCTCTGGACGTGAATTCCAACTCTGCCTCCTACTGCCTCTGTGTGGCCTTCAGGAAATCTCTCAGCCTCTCTGTTTGCTTTCCCACTGAAGAGCCTTTTGACATAGACTTGAGCAAGTAAGTTGCAAGACCTCGTTTCAAAGCCTGCTTCACTTCAGGCTGAAGGGCTCTGGCAGTCACAGCCACCATGACAACCATGATTCTACTTTTGGAAGTCTTGGCTGAAAGCACCAGGGTAGCCCGGAAGCCCTTCTCTATGCATGCCACGCTTGTCCTGCGCTCTGGGGATGTGTTTGCCTGACTGTCTCCTCACAAGACAGGAGCATCTCCAGGGTGCAGCCTGTCTCATCCATCTCTGTGCCCAGCACTGGCCCAGGCTGGCATGTGGCCAGAGGTCTATGAGATTGTGCCGCCCTAGCCTGAACCACATCAGAGCACACTCTCAGCTCCCCGCTTTCCCATTTCATTGGTTATGGTTCAATTTCTGCAAAGTTTGGCAGTTCGATTTTTTTCCTTTTCCTTTTCTAATGTTCACCTGGTTTCTACAGGCACAGGGACACCTGACCGTCCACTTACCGGCTCTCCGTCCTTCCCTTTTCCAGGTGGCCCAGGGAGCCCAGGAGCGCCAGGATCTCCCCTGGGACCAATGGGTCCTGGGCTTCCTTCTTGCCCCGCTGCTCCCTGGAAAGAAAAGCAGACATTTCCCCAGATCAGTTATACGCAGCATGAAGCTTTGCCACGGCAGAGCAGCCTGAGTAGTTCGCAGGTTTCCTAGGGCTGCCCTTATATTTTAGAAGGCCCTTACTTTCTGGGGCACAGAACAATGGACTGTGAAATATGTGTTACAGGTTAAATAGTGTCCCTCAAAATTTGTGTCTTGAAGTCCTAACCCCTACTACTTCAATGCACAGAGTTGATTAAAGTTAGGATGAGGTCATACTGGAGTGTGACCCTCCAGGGGGCCTAATCCAATGAGAGTAGCATCCTTTAAAGGAGGCGGCATTTGGACACACACGCATAGAGGCAAGACAAAATAAATACAGAGGGACAAGACACCACCAGTGAGCGAAGGAGGGAGGCCTGAATGGGATGTTTCCTTCACCACCCTCAGAAGGAGTCAGCCCTTCTGACATCTTGACTGAGGACTTCTAGCCTCCCGAACTGGGAGAAAGTCCAGGCTGCCCAGTTTATGATGCTGCAGCCTTAGTCAATCAATTCAATGAAAAACAAGGAAAAGAAAAGGACGTTAGTGACAACCTTCCACCCAGTGCAGGGAAATCTATTTCCAGTGCATCTCTTACAGACTGGCCCCCATCTCTGCTTGAACTCCTCTGGGAGCAGAGGCCTCACCAGTGCTCCTCCCCGTGCATTCCTTTGTCAGGCAGCACTGTTATTGAACATATCCTTACACTCAGCCTTCTCTGAAATCTTCCCAACACTGGACACTCAGTCTGTTCCCTGGAGCCCCGTAGACACAATCTAATCCCTCTGACAGTTAGGTTTTCAACTATAAGAATAGAGCTTAAAGCTACAATGGAGGAGCGGGAGAACGCGTGTGCTAGCATGAGCACCAGGGTCTGCTTGGGGACTGGGCTTTGAGCTTGCTCCAGGCCAGGGTCTCCACCTCTGACTGCAAAGCTCCGAGCAGCCCTTGTGGTGGCCCTGGCTGTGGAACATGGGGTTGAACCCCGCGAACCAGAGGGACCCCTTTCTCCAGACGGGGCTGCCCTGGGCTGAAGCTGCAATCGCAGTGTCTCCAGCCATTCTCAGGTGGAGCAGAGGTGAGGGAAGATGAGCCAAGGATGGGCACAGCAAGGATGGAGAGCGCCTCTCTCCAAGCCTGGAGCGGGATCAGCTTCCCCTCGCCCCAGGCCAGCTCCTGGACACGATGTGAGAGGGAAAAAGCACGCTGTGCTGCCCGGGATTTTTACCACTTTGCAGAGCCCTGGAGGTTCCTTTCCAAGTTAAGTCCTGGGCCCTGCACTCAAGCCTGGGCTTCTGCTCAGCCAAGGAAAGGCATTTGGCTCCCCCTAGAGACTGAATGTGGCAACAGCCCGCTGATTTCTGGCTTCTGAACTTGCACCTGTTAGTCCTCCTAAGATGCCTAATATCTTTCTTGGTCATCCCCTTCCAGGTTACCTGTGTCCTACTTATCATGTGCCATCCTTCAGGCATGGCACAATTAAGGAATAGCAGATGAGTCCAGATGTTTTTCCCTTGCTTAATCTAGGCAGTCTAAAATAGTATTATATATTTTTCAAAAAACGAATGTTTGTAGCTGTATTACATAAGAGTTATTATTATTATTATTGAGATGGATTTTTACTCTGTTGCCCAGGTGGGAGTGCAGTGGTGCGATCTCAGCTCACTGCAACCTCCACCTCCTGGATTCAAGTGATTCTTGTGCCTCAGCTTCCCAAGTAGCTGGGACTACAGGCATGTGCCACCACATCCAACTAATTTTTGCATTTTCACTGGAGACGGGGTTTCACTATGTTGGCCAGGCTGGTCTTGAATTCCTGACCTAAAGCGACTTCCCTGCCTTGGCCTCCCAAAGTGCTGGGATTACAGGCGAGAGGGTTATTATCAAGTCTGTGATCAACATTCAAAAAACCCAAGATATTTTCCAGAAATGTGTTGAGCATTTCGCTCTACAGTAAGTTTTTTTTTTCTCTAGGACATTTATTTTAAAATTGAACCCTTCTGCCAAAAGGGAAATGACACCTTCTCTTGTTAAAATATGCAAAAATGTAAAAAATAAAGTGATCCTTTAAAGGGCATCAGGTAAAGTGAACTTGAAAGGATCCATGTTAAGAAGTTTGGCCATGCGTGTGCTAGGAGGGGCCTCTATGGACAATCCATGCCCCAATGCCATCTCTTCCTGTCCATAGGTATAAACGTGATCTGCTCGAGCAGGGAGGGCAGGGCACAACCACATGGAACCCCTGTCACCTGTTGTCTGCTGAGCCCTTTGCCCACGCCTCCCCAGTTCCTCAGTGAGTTCTCACAACCTGTCATCAATGTGGCAGCATCTGCATTTTACAGACGAGAAAATCCAGGTGCAAAGAGGGTACCCTTTCTTTAGATCAGGGTTTCTCACTCTTGGCACTATTGACCTTCAGGGAGGATCATTCTTATTAGGGGAATGTCTTATGTACTGTGAGGTTTTTAACAGGATCTCTGGTCTCTACCCACGGATGCCAGGAGCTGTTACTCCCCCTAGTGGTGACAACTAAAAATGTCTTCCTGGGTAAAGCTCCCTTCTTGAGAATCCCTTTTGTCACCCTACCTTAAATCAATGTAACTAGGGCAAGGGAGCTGGCATTTGACCCAGGTCCAAAGCCCTGAATCACTCAAATGAGGGCACCTTATTTCCTGAGCACTGGCTCAGTTTCACCAATTAACCTCAGAGGCGTTTCATAAGGTGCTAGGGCAGAGAAATGCAAAATGGAACTTAAAGGGGTATGGATTCTCCTCCTCAGCCTCTGTTTTTGTTTGTTTGTTTGTTTGTTTGTTTTGATTGGGGTGGGAACATGTGTCTCTCTTCATAATAATTAAAATCTCAGGCTGGGTTCGATGGCTCACACCTGTAATCCCAGCACTTTGGGAGACCAAGGCAGGTGGATCACTTGAGTTCAGGAGTCTGAGATCAGCCTGGGCAACATGGTGAAACCCGATCTCTACAAAAAACTAGCTGAACGTGGTGGCACACACCTGTAATCTCAGCTACTCAGGAGGCTGAGGCAGGAGAGTGGCTTAAACCTGGGAGACAGAGGTCGTAGTGAGTGGAAATCACACCAGTGCACTCTAGCGTCAGTGGCACAGTGAGACTCTGTCTCAAAAGAAAAGTGTGAGCGTAGGTATAGAATGGATACCTTGGGAAGGTTTACATGTAAACCTATTCTGAGCATAGGTACAGAATAGATAAGGCCAGGCACGGTGGCTCACACCTATAGCCCCAGCACTGTGGGAGCCAAGGCAGGTGGATCACTTGAGGTCAGGAGTTCAAGACTATCCTGGCCAACATGGTGAAACGTTGCCTCTATTAAAAATGCAAAAAAATTAGCCGAGCGTGTTGGCATGCAACCATAGTCCCAGCTACTCCAGAGGCTGAGGTGGAAGAATCACCTGAACTCAGGAGGCGGAGGTCGCAGTGAGCCGAGATCATGCCACTGCACTCCAGCCTGGGTGACAGAGCAAGGTTCCATCTCAAAAAAAAAAAAAAAAAAGAATGGATAAGTTGGTGCACTGAATTGAGAGAAAACAGGATTTGGAGTCAGGCAGACCTCCCTGTAGCTCATTTGCTATGAGACACAGGGCAAATGGGATGGCAGGGTCTTCCTGTCCCTCCTACTTGGTAAACTCCTTCTGATGGCTGGTTTCTAAACCAGGCCTGAGCAGAGCGAGCTGCTCCTTCAGTGCCTGTAAGAAGTTGAGGATATCCGCCTGTGTGCTGAGAGATGACATTGGTCTTACCTTCTCACCACGCTCCCCGTCTTTTCCAGGGGGGCCTCTGAGGCCAGGAGCACCCTGTGGAAAGGAAGATTATGGACGTGGTGAATTTAAAGATCACTGGTCACTCTCAGTGGCTCGTGATACCCAGGGAGGACTCGTCAGGTCCCCCTGAAGCCAACAACTACAGCTCCCACTCGATTCCCACGCTCATTGAAATTCCCCAAAGCTCCACATCCTCCCTGCCTGTGACTGCTGCTCTGCAGGCGGCCTGGCCTTAGAACTGTGCACTTTGGAGCTCTTAGCAGCAGGCATGGTCTGTTGGAAGCTTAGCCTCCCGGTCTGGGCTGTGAGCTCTGAGAAGGCATGGCCTAGCACAGTGAACACCCAGGGATGATAAGGATGGCCTTAAGAACCCAGCCTTAGCATTGGGGCATCTGCTCCAACAGTCTTTGGAGTCCCCAAAGGTTGACTTTGAGACATGGTTTAAGTGCAAGTGTCCCATGGATGCAATAGTAGGGAAACAGAGAAGTAAAAAGGAGGAAAACACTCACGCCTGTGATCCCAGCACTCTGGGAGGCAGATGGATCACTTGAGGTCAGGAGTTCGAGACCAGCCTGGCCAACATGGTGAAACCCCCTCTCCACTAAAATACAAAAATGAGCCAGGTATGGAGACATTCCCCTATAATCCTGGCCACTTGGGAGGCTGAGGCAGAAGAATCACTTGAACCCTGGAGGCGGTGGCAGTGAGCTGAGATCATGCCACTGCACTCCAGCCTGGGTGACAGAGCGAGACTCCAACAACAACAACAACAACAAAAATGGTGGAGGGGAGAACAGGTAGCACAAAATACGCTTGCTGGCCACTGGAGCTCTGTCCTGCTGGGACTCTGGGATCCTGCCCAGGACACACTCTCAGAGTGATGACAGCTGAGGACAAGGGATCTGAGCTACTCTGCTGGTGGTGCTATGGCCACCTGTCACGCGGCCCGACAACATGCTCTCTAGAGGCCAGAGAAGACCCCTAGCCAGAAGAATGCAGGCTGAGAGGCTGGAAGCCTCTATGTGAAATAACATCCCTCTGGTAGGGTTGCTGTGCGGATTAAATGAATTAACACGTGTAATGTGCTTACAACGATGCCTGGCATGTACGAAGGCTCAGTCCTCGAAGCTATAATGCTTATTACCTGTAAAGGTCTGGTGAATACACAGGACTGACCTAAATTTATTGTGGGGGAAAAATGCTTTGCTGCCCTTGACTAGATGTCATAGAGTGTTTTGTTGAACAATGTTCAAGTCTAAATTGGTGTTTATGGTGACTCTGAAAGCTGTCCTTTAGCAGACACCTTGAGACTTGATGTGGAAAAGGCAGAATCTCAGCAGGTCAAAAAAAATGCAACCCTAAAAGTGAACCAGCCAACCTCTTGTCTCCATTTTGCAGATGAGCAAGCCGAGACCTCAACGAATGGCTTGCCAAGGTCATCAAGGCAATTAAGAGAAGAGCTAGGATTCGAACCCAGGTCTCCCAATGGCTGTCAGGGTTCCTCTGACTTCTTTAGGCTCATTTTGTTTCTTCTGAGGCAAACTATGGTGTTGATTCCAACAACAGTGAAATGTAGACTTTCTGCAGATGCAACAGCTGCATTCACCCTCTGGAGAGCTGGCGAGCTGCCTAGGGCTTAGTGTGTGAACTTTCTAGATGGTCTACGTCAGGACAGCAGCATCTCCATCTGCAATGTGGGCATAAGGATGCCTACACCTCTGGGTTTGGGGAGGATAAATGAACTAGCTCGGTGGCTGGGCAGTGCCTATCCACAGCCAGTGCTGGGATCCATACCCTCTCCCAATTAACTCACCACACTTCCTGGAGGGCCACTGGGACCGGGGGGACCTACGTGTCCAGGAGCACCCTGTTCAGAGACAGTAGTTTAGAAAGGCCAAATGCATTGATTACAAGTAGTTGCCCCCAGCGCCTCCGCAAACCTGCCTCATACTAAATTTAGCGCAATGCACTGGAACTGCTGCTGACCCGACAGCCCCTGCAGACAGGAACCCCCTCCCTTGAGTGCCGCAGTGTCCTGAGCACCAAGCCTCAGGTGAAGGGGCTTCTGGCACAGAGGTGAGAGGCAGGAGGGCAGGAAGGAGGACTCTGGAAGTGCCTTAGGGCTAAGGCACAGGGATGTGGAAGAGTGGGGGAGTGGGGGCAGAGGGTAGGGCTGGGCCCTAATCACAGAAGAGGATCTCAGCAGAGGTTTGGCCTTACGGTAAGTGCCTGAGGGAAAGGAAACACTGCAAATGGGATGGTTCAGACCTCAGTTGTGTATGTGTGTGTATGTGAATGTGTGTGTGTCTGCATGTTTGTGCGTGCAGGCATGTGGGTATGTGTGTGTTTGTGTGTGCATGTGTGCATGTGTGTGCAGGCATGTGTATGTGTGCATGCTTGTGCGTGCAGGCATGTGCGTGTGTGCATGCTTGTGCATGAATGCATGTGCGTGTGTTGTTTGTGTGTGCAGGAATGTGCGTGTGTGCATGCTTGTGCATGAATGCATGTGCATGTGTTCATGTTTGTGTATGCAGGCATGTGTGTGTGTGCATGCTTGTGCATGAATGCATGTGCATGTGTTCATGTTTGTGTATGCAGGCATGTGCATGTGTGCATGTTTGTGGATGCAGGCATATGTGTGCATGTTTGTGTGTGCATGCATGCATGTTTGTGTGTGCAGGCATGTGTGTGTGCATGCCTGTGTGTGTGCATGTTTGTGTGTGCAGGCATGTGCATGCATGCATGTTTGTGTGTTGGCTTTGACTGGAAAATCAGGGAAGAAGTGAATTTGAACTAAAACCTGGTGGCTGGGCAATGATCCATGAAAGGAGATGTGGGTGAGGACATCCAAGTGGGTCAGCACTGTGGGCATGGGGACGCAGGGAGCTCTCACGGCACTGGAGGCGGCTTCTGTTTCTTCCATGCCTTGTTCCCCTCTGCCCCTGGGTTTTGCACATCTCCAGGGTCAGGACTCATGGAGAACATTCCACTCCCAGCCTCCTCCTTGCCTACACTCTGCTTCCGTTCCCCTGCAGCCGGGCTGGGCCCAGGGATCTCTCCAAGAGCAGGGAAGAGCTTCCATCTGTCCCCACTGTGAGTTCCCAGCCAGCCATATGCATGGTGGCCTGGTAATATCAGCACCCTCCAGCTGGGACAGGGCCACCCAGCGTGCTGCGAGGAGCAGGCTGGACGAGTGCTGCTGCTGCTGACTGGCCAGAGACCCCGGGATGAGTCAGCCCATCCTGCCCCCCACCAGCTCCACAGTCAAGCTGGAGATCCCTGGCTCTGCACCATGAGACAGAACTCGAATCAGCTCCAGGAACAAGTGCCAGCCCCACAGGGATCAAATACAGCCTGGGTCTGGCCCCAAGGATGGATGAGCCACCAGCAGCACAGGTGTGTGTCTAGAGGTGTCCGTGTGTTTCCCTGACTGCTTCTGTGTGTTTGGGGTTGTGTATGTGTGTGTGTGTGTGTGTGTGTGTGTGTGTGCATGAACATATTATAGAATGTGTATTCTTGGGTTTGTAGAGTGTGTGTACATGGTTGTGTATGTAAGCACACTTATTGGAGTCTCTAACAGTCTCACCTGTGAGTGGAGGTCTGTGGGTGTCATCTACGTGTGCATAAAAAGAGATTTTTCATTAGCTGGGCATGTGGACAAAGCCAGGGAATGCTACAAAGGTGGTGGAAGCCACAACCTCTCTCCGTGCTGACTCCAGCCAAGCACTCCAGTGTGGGTGGACCTTCTGGGCCACATCCCCCTAGCTGGCCCAGAGTTGTGAGCCACAGAGCCAACACTGGGTGGGGCCTCCCTCCTGGGAGTCCCCACGAGGCAGGCCAAGCATAGGGACTCACAGGGTTTCCAGCTGCTCCAGGAGCCCCATGCGTGCCTTCCTGTCCCTTGGCACCCTGCACAGGAAATAAGAGATGGGCAGCGGTAAGAGACCCTCAGTGATGCTGTTTCCCTCACAGCAGGACAGTCTCGGGGACACCTTCCTCATCAGAAGCATTGTTCCAAACTGAAGGGGCTGGGAATACCATCTGAAAGGTGTAGAAAACCACTAAATCCCAGCCCTCTGCTGGAGCTGGGCATATCACAATTCCATTCTATCTTCACCACCAACCCAGGGTATAGGGGCCAGCACTGACCCTCCATAGAAATGTAGTTCAGGGGGGTCAGCCAGGGGCTCACACAGCTGAACAGGGTCCCCAGTCACCCCAGCAGGATTTCCCACCGTAGCACAGAGTCTCCCCGAGAACCGAGATCCGGTGCAGAGGCTAACACCGAGAAAATGACAAACTCAGAGCACTAACATGCACCAGGCACACATAAGCCAGCATTGCCACTCCACGGCTGGGATGCATTTCCTGTTCTGCAAATCCTCTGGGAACTGAGAAACTGCCTGTGTGCTGAGGCCCTTGCTCTCCAGGTCCCGCTAAGCAGGAGAAGGGAGAGCACAGCAGAAACCCAGAGCTCGCCTAAGGCAACCCTTTACTGACAGAGTAGGGACATCCAGGGGTACAGAGGTGGGGTCCAGCCCCTTGGCTGTGTCTGAGTCATGCAGCGATGACCACTCAGCCTCTGCAGCACCTTGAAGTGGCACTCCCCAGCATCTACTCCCAAAATGCCAGGGGAGAGAACTGGGGAGGGTGGTCTGGGGGGACAGAGCGTGGCTGGGATCTCCAGGTCTCTGAGACAGCAGGGGAAGGGACGGTTTTCTTACCGGTGGTCCAGCGGGTCCCTGAGGCCCCAATTCTCCAGGACGGCCCTGCAGTCCCTGCAAGCACAAAAGTTGCAATGAACCAGCTCACCCCCCTGCTTCTGAGCAGACAGGGCGGGGCGGTGGAGGGGTGTGGGGCTGCTGCAATAGGTATAATCTGAAATCCAAGGAGGGGCCGTGGCTAGGGCCCAGAGGAGGAGAGAGAGCTGCCTTCGATTCGGTGGCTCCTGTGTGTGGACTGCATGGCACAGACCTAGCACTGGTCAGCCTTTGGACTCCAGGTAACCAGCTCTGCGGGGGATGGGGGCACAAGGCACTCACCGGTTCCCCAGGCTTGCCCGGATCGCCCTTCTCTCCTTTGGGCCCCTGCTGTCCCTGTTGGTGAGAAGCACAGGGTGGAGTGGACCTCAAGGCGACCTTCCCCTCGTCACAGGGTACATGCCCCCAGCTCAGGCCACACAGGCCACCTCCAGTCCCGTGTAACACCTGAGAGGCCTGCACCCCCAAACCCTCTGCCTGGGGAATCTTCCCTCTCACTCCCCAGGACTGGTTCTGACTCATATTTCAGGTCCGATCAGTTTTCCAGGGAAGCCGAACCCCAAAATGGGACCAAGCCTCCCATCACAGCGGCTCAGTGCACCGTGCCTTTCTGCTCCTGAGCCCGTTACAGCCGCAGTTTTACACCTGGTTGTGCGGTTTGATTCCTGCCCCTTCAGCTCAGAGCCTGGCATGTGGTAGATCATCAGTGAATAAGGACAGAGTTTTGAGAGGAGGAAGGTCTTTAAGGGCCCCTGGCCCAAACACTATTTTTTCCTCCTTCTTTCTCT